CTGTTGAGGAAAGTTTTACAGCAGCCTGTATGTAAATGGAGTAATTAGGAAATTCTGGTATTTTGTAGGAATATGACAGAGGGGTGTGTTTTTCTACTAAAATGATTCAGCTGGATATTTTTCAGACAGCAGTTTCAAAAAGAGAATTATGTGGTTCTAATGAGAGCTTGCCACCTACTGGCTGCAGGTGGCAAATATTAATTATGTCTACACCACATTTCATATTTAACTAATTTAAAATATTGCATAAACTTTTTACTACCAAACAAAAAAGAGCATCTGAAAAATACTATAGAGTGCATTTAACGTTGAAGTTTAAAGGAGAACTATGAGGTGTGTGATTTACACTCATCCTCATAGTTCGAGCCGACGTATGACATTGAAACTGTCACAGGTCGGCCCTATTGATCGGGAAGTGAGCGAACACATACTGCCACTTGCTCACTTCCCGATTATCTCCCTGCAGAGAGAGATGACTGTCAGTCATCGCTCCCCGCAAGGATTTCTCTCCTCCCCTCTCCAATCCTCCAGCGCTGACTGGAGGAACGGACGGGGGAAAGGTTGGGCACAGCTGGCTCTGCCTCTAGATAGGCAGAGCCAGCTGTCAATCAGCCAGCTGGGTGGATCTCCACAGCATTGTCCGGATCTGTGCCGGCTGCGGCGCTCTCATTATATAGCTTGCAATAGCTTGCTATATACTGACCTTTGGGTCACGGGAGGACATTAGTATATGTCCTCCCGTAACCCTATAGAGAACCATGGGAAAATAAGGTTACCCCCTAGTTCTCTTTTAACTTGTTAATATTTTGCCTTCTCTGATTCCCCCTTTCCCCCCTGATCACCATGCTAATGCAATTATTACAAAAAACATTTCTGTCTGCAATACATTGCTAATGTTAGTCCCAGTGACATCATCACTAGTTCTCAGTGCTTTTCTATGCAATGCAGGCAGATCCTAACAAGTAGGAGGGGCCGGCAGGGTCATGGTTTGCACTCCTTCCATGGAGGGTAGGTCTAAAATTAAAAATGTGCTGGAAGGAGACATTTTATAGACATTTAAATTATCCTCAACTGTTCTACGCACCAAAAATTCCAAGTTAGCTTTCTAAACTAAAAAAACCCCTACCCTTTTATCATAAATATCACTGTCTTTCCTTTATACTGTATGTGTTTAAATATAAGCAAAACGATCACTTAGACTAGAGCACAGCGTTTCTCAACCTTTTTTTCAGCCACAGCAACCTTTAAAAGTAAGTAAAATCTCAAGGCAACTCAGTCTAAAATATTTAAAAAAAACATGTGGCCCCTCCATTATCCATACCAGACCCTTATCTGAGATAGGGGCCTGGTATGGCTTTTAAGGGAGGATTCCATGCAAAAACACAAAAAAGTGGGGTTCCCCCTTCATAGTAGGAGCCCCCTTAACATCAGAAGCCTCCTTTTCACATTAGAAGCCCCCCATTCACTTCAGATTGCCCCTTTTACATCAGAAAATATTGAGGCTCTACTGAGAAAGCAAGAGGGCACCCTAAGGTGCCATGGCACCCTGGCTGAGAAGGGCTGCTCTAGCACACACTTTACAATAATAATAACTTTGGGTGATATTTATTTATACCAATCTAAAAACTGCATTGAAATACCCAACTATAACCTTACACCTTATTTTCTCTTTATAGCCCTGTATCACCCTATGGTATGAATTTAATAGCTTTTTGCTTAGAATTGCCATAACATGCTTACATTCCCTTTGATGTAAATGTGCTTTATGTACTCACACTCCAGGTCTCTGTGCTGGCATAGGTGAGTAATGGCCACTCCCCTCATCACTAGTGTCCCCACACAGACATGTATTGCAGGGGAAGGGAGGGGTGTGCATTACACAGCTGGTTGGATTGCACAGTATACTGGATGGGAAGGTCACATTCTAGATGCGATCAGTCAGCGCAGTCATATTTAGACACACTGCACAAATGCTATAACAAGAAATTTCCATAGGACTTTAAGAAAATAGGTTGCTATTACACTACCTACAAAGACTGGATATCTGTTTTCTTGCTTTAAATAGGGCTTTAAAAGGAATACGGCTATGGGTGGTGGTGGCGCCACAGGGATTTGCTCCCTGAGACCCTTGGCATGTGTGTATCTTTACAGATCTTGTCTCATGTTCTCTCTTCTTGATAAGGAATATTTCTAGCATAATGGCATACAGGGATCAGAGTGCTGGAGGAGGTGTAGGAATGTACACATTAAAATTTAACAAGACATTTTAATAACATGAGTAGCATTGCTAAGAATGACCCAAAGTTTTAGGTTTACACTACAGATAGATACAATGCTTTGTTAAGAAACTGTCTTTGCACTTTTGGGTTACTTCATGTTATTTAAAGTACAGCCCTACCTAGTTAGCAGCACAGAAAGCTTTAACCAATTTGCCTCAAGAGAAAGCAGCCATGCCTTTACAAAGCTGTGCTCTGCGGACCCCACAGCAACAGACGTCTTTTGAAATAATGATTTGATGAACTCGGATGCCACAAAGGGTAACAAATGAACACACAGCTTATAAAGACTGAGAAAATGCTGCCTATCATCTGGAACAGCGTGCCAAATTATAGCGTGAAAGCAGAACAAAACAAGTGCGGAACTGCAAATATCAAAAGCGGCATGTAACATCTTCATGGTGACATACTTCTCAGGAGCAGGGAAAAGCAGGATCTTGAAGGATACAGGTGGGTCTAGAATCTGGTCTGCTGGAAATGTTATGCAACTCAAAACTACTGCAAATAGAAACAAATAATTCTGATAATTCGCTATCCACTATTTTGAGTCATCGCTCTTTCGCTGCTGAATTTATATATAATTTTAAATTGCAAAGGCTGAAGAAGGACACATAAAGCCCAACTCAGGTCCTTTTTTAAATAGTCTTCCAGCAGGACACTGTCCTTCTGGAGGATGACTACTATTGTTCCCCATGGCCCCTGTGTGTGTTGTAAAGTAGCCACCGCTCCAAACTCACTCCCGTGACTAATTTGCATTGAAATTATACTCCATCATGGGAGTGAGCTTGGGGAAGTGACTACTTTACAACACACACAGATAACTGCTGTAGATCCTCAAATCATCCCTGAATTAGTGCTGTCACTGTCCTTCCTTCTGGCGGGTGACTACTTTTGTTCCCCATGGTCCCTGTGTGTGTTGTAAAGTAGCCAAGCTCACTCCCGTGATGGACTACAATCTCAATAAACTAAACATGAAATTGTAGTCTATCACAGGAGTGAGCTTGGAGAGGTGGCTACTTTACAACACACAGGGACCATGGGGAACAAAAGCATCCATCCTCCAGAAAGGACAGTGACAGCACAAATTCAGAGATGATTTTAGGATCAGCTGGCTCTGTGTGAGTTGTCACTTTAATTCTGTCAATAGATACCTTCAGATTGAATTTAACCCAAAAGACTGAGGACATCATGTGAGTGCAGGGTGTCAACACGGTGCCTTGCACTTATAGTGTAATGATGCAGATAGAAGCGCCAATGTCAAGACTGGAGGGGGTGGGATTTGTTTTCTGTCGATCCATTCTTAAGAATTACACAGATTTACCATACAGCACAACCCTATATTGCAGGGTATAGGACGTGATCTTTCTCTGCTGCAGTTTAGTAACCCTTACAGATCTCCTCCTGACTCCCACCCTGTGATGGACCGAGAAAGAAGAATCAGCAGACTGATGAGGCCATCTCTTTGTCACTCTGCTTTCTTCCCATATCAGCATACTCCTTGCACTGTTGCTCAACCTATCAGCCCTTTGTGAAGCTTCTTCTCCCTCTCTGAACTCTGCTGTACAGGGACTGCAAAAGGCTGCTACCAGGTGAAGTTAAAGTACTTACACTGCTTGCATTAAAAAAATACCTTAAAGTGTGTATTAATGAACACAGAGTTGCAATAGTTTGTGTCTTTTATATTTGCCAGACATTCAGCCTTAAGAAAAACAATCCTGACCTCAAACCATTATAGTTTCCCTTTATTCAAAATATTCTGCAGCCAGATCTATGACTGAAAGTAGACAATATGAACAGGGACGAGTATTGTATATGCTCAGGTTACACCTTTGGCCTACAAATGTCATAAAGTTGGTGGATTACAGGGACTCAAATTAAGGTAAACTGAGTGAATTTACTGACTTTAGCACTTCTGTAGTTCACTGTTTGCTTTTATTTATTGACTGGAACAGGTTTTTTTTAAGAATGCAGCAAACAAGAATGCTTCTATAGGCCAATACAAGATCTACTGAACAAAGTATCAGAAACAAGAACTCTTATTGTTTCCCCATAGCCACCAATCAGGTGTCAAATCATTCTTGGAAAATAATTGTTATGTTGAAGCAGAACTACCCCCTTCTATCCCTTACAGCCAAGAAAGGTGCCATCTTAGCTGCTATTTGGATTGCAGTTGCCATGGTGTTGAACATGTTATCAGCTATGACACCAGCCATTTGAGGGCTTAAAAGTTCGGTTAAGAGCTGAAAAAAGCACCCTGGCAACCTTGACAGTTTACAAAGTAAACTGTTTTATGAGACATTAAATTGGTGGGTCTAGTTCCACTTAGAGAGGATCAGTTACTTTTAAGGCATGCAAACTGTTTAGGTTGTCAGTGTGCTTATTTCAGCTTTTTAAAAGAATTTCGAAGCCCTCAAATGACTGGTGTCATAGCAGGTCACATGTGCAGTACCATGGCAACTGCAATCCAAATAGAGGCTAAGATGGCACTTTCCTTGACTGTAAGAATCAGGAGGGTGGAGTTCCAATTTAAAAGTTTAAATCTGAAAAGTAGTTGAGCTGATTTGCAGTGACCCTTTGAAATGAGCCCCTCAGCTACTTACATGTTGACAATTACAGGAGTGTAGTCTATAATTCACTTCAACATAGTGGAATATCGTCAGTTCAGGACAAGTAGTATAATTACAAGTATACAATAAAAATAAACTTCATTGGGCATTTACTTACCAAATATTCCTGGGATAGCATTAAAAGCAATAAAAAACAAAATTAATATTTTTATAGCATGTGAATTAATTAAAGAGAAATTGATAATAATGAAGCATTATTTACATTCCAAAAGAATAAAACACAGAGAAAACATTCAGTTTCATTATTTTATATCAGTACATTGTATTAAAGTGTAATATACAGGATTCTATTTAGAAATGTTTTCACACAAGATTCAAACAACTTTCATCCCAGATTTACACAATTTTCTAATTGGATTCAAATGAAAAAATATGTATTTCCTGGTTGAACATTGTGTAAATTCTGTGTGAAAACAATTTTAAATAGACCCCATTATATACAATATGCATTTTAGTTGATCTTGAATATCTCTTTGTCTGCATGCAAGATAGATAGTTAATCATAAAATCATTAAAAGGGGCAATAAGATAGGAAATCCACTTAAAGTAATCACGTCTTTAGAATAAAGATCCTAAATTACATATTTCTTAAAGGAGAACTATGAGGTCAGTGTTTTTCCCCATAGTTCTCCTTAGGGTAACGGGAGGACACAAACTAGCGTCCTCCCGTTACCCTAAGCTCAGTGTCACAGGTCGGCTAGAACTATGAGGTGAGTGGAAATCACTCATCTCATAGTTCTCCTTTAAGCACCCTGGGAATACTCAAATGCAATGATATAAATCTAAATGTAAGCAAAATATTGAACTTCTTGCTGCTTCTTCCAGCACTTTAATATTAGTCAGTAAGGCTGTCTCCACTGAGAAGCTAATAGTGAGATGCTGGAGTTAGGCTAAAGTGCACATTTCACATACTTTCCTCTTCTTGTTGAGCAGGTAATACAAAATATCCTTTTAAATCTAGAGTTATTCAGTATTTTGCCTGTTACAGTCCCATATGGCACCACTCATGCATTTTCTTTTACCTTCTATTGACTCTACAATACACTCTACAATCTCCTTGTCTCTCCTCATACATGCCTCACTCTCTTCATTTCTACCTAGTTGCACCGCTGTTGGCAGGGGATGGGCTTTTTTACTCAGGATATGGCTGCTTTCTAAAGAAAACAAACTGTAACTTTGAACACATTTATTCTGATACACCTGGAATCTATGTAAAATAAAAGTGGGGCAACAAATCCACTTTTGTTTCCATACTTTAGTTAGTATTTGGCCAAAATTGCAGAATTACACTTTACATGAGCTCTAAAGTGAAGAGTTGGTATTGCATTACAACAGCCCAATCTGTGTCATATTTTACAAGTAGTGCCTGATAATTGGTAGACAACACATGAATATATAAGAACACCCAAAACACAAGTTACTGTATAATAAGGAAAAACACATGCTATCCTGGATGACCAAATTAAGATCATATATGAATCAAGGAAATACTGGCCAAGGCTAAAAAATCCTAAATTCATTCAGGCTCCTTGTCTCTGTTGGTCAGTTATGTAGGAATAGAACAAACTTATTTATCTAGAATTGGGCTTGGTATCTCAAGGTTCACATACTGCACAAAGCCACAGATCTGCTGAGAGGAGTTGTGAGTTCACTTTAATGAAGCAGAGAGTATGCTTCAGTTCCACCGATTCTTTTATTAATACAGCAAACAAACTGAATTGTAAAGTTCCTTTGGGAATTTCAGTGCAAGCATTTTCCTCATCTTTTTATAACATTTTGATCTTGCGTAACTATCTCATTTACCTGGTACAGAATAATAATCAGGTTCTTCAGAACACCGAATTCCCAAGTCAATACTTTTGTATTTTTTTTCATGTAATGAGTACTAAAAACATTAACCTTACCTTAAACATTGACCAGGAAGAAAAGAAATACATGATTTGGGTTCACTATGTACTGAAGACTCCGCAGAAGTCAACTTAACATTTTTGCCTTAATGAATTAAAAAAGGAGCCACACTTTAATAAAATATTACAGCTTTCACACTGCATATGAGTAGCTAAGTGATGGCTATGGCTTGCTTCTGTTTTTTTCCTTCATAAGGATTAAAGAGATTTTGTCAAAACCTTTCCTGAACCTTAATCCCTTATTGTCAACAACAATTTGCCGAATGTGGACCTCTCAGTAACTTTACGAATCTGCATTAATAAATGTCATGTTGTAATTTAGAATGTCATCATTTTTTAAATAAGCTGTACCTTTGATCATTAGAAATACACTATATTACCAAAAGTATTGGGATGCGTGCCTTTACACGCACATGAACTTTAATGGCATCCCAGTCTTAGTCCCCCTCCACCAAACTTTACACTTGGCACAATGCAGTCAGGCAAGTACCGTTCTCCTGGCAACTGCCAAACCCAGACACGTCCATCAGTTTGCCAGACAGAGAAGCATGATTCGTCACTCCAGATAACAAGTCTCTCCTTCTCTAGAGTCCAGTGGCGGCGTGCTTTACACCACTGCATCCAACGCTTTGCATTGCACTTGGTGATGTATGGCTTGGATGCAGCTGCTCGGCCATGGAAACCCATTCCATGAAGTTCTCTACGTACTGTTGTTGTGCCAATCTGAAGACCACGTGAAGTTTGGAGGTCTGTAGCTATTGACTCTGCAGACAGTTGGCGACTTCTGTGCACTTCAGCATGCGTTGACCCTGCTCTGTCATTTTACGTGGCCTACCATTTTGTGGCTGAGTTGTTGTTGTTCCCAGTTGCTTCCACTTTGTTATAATACCACAACAGTTGACCATGGAATATTTAGTAGCAAGGAATTTCACAGAACACCTGAATCCAATGATTTGGAGGGGTGTCCCAATACTTTTGGTAATATAGTGTATGTCTTTAAAGGAGAACTTTGAGATGAGTGAAAATCACTCACCCTCATAGTTCGAGCCGACATGTGACAATGAAACTGTCACACGACGGCTCAATAGATTGGCATACCATCGCTCACACACTTCTCGATCGTCTCCCTGCAGAGAGCCGTGACTGTCAGCAACCGCTACCTGCAGGGATTCCCCCCTCCCCGCTCCGATGCTCCAGCGCCGAGTGGAGGAGCGGACGGAGGAGGGGGCGGGTACATAGGCAGGAGGGGGACGGAGGAGGGGGTCTCTAGATAGGCAGAGCCAGCTGTCACTCACGCAGCTTTGTGAATATTGACAGTACCTCGCTATATACTGAGCTTTGGGTCACGGGAGGGCGCTAGTATATGTCCTCCTGTGACACTTAAGAGAACTATGGGGAAAAACACTTACCCATAGTTCTCTTTTAAGCTCCAATCAAGAAATGTTGCCTAGGCTGAGATCATGTCATCAGGCAAATGCAGGCAAATGCAGGAAACATTCTCCTGTCACCTCTGCCCAGTGATCAGACTGCAATATACGTGAGAGACTGTGGGAGGGGATGACCTGTGTCAGACATCAGTCAAACTTGCCAGGCACTAGAATTAAGGCCCTATTCACACCGGTTCTATTGTGATCCATTGCAATCCATTTTTTCAAGGGATGCTAACAGAAGGAAACCCAAAAAATGAATGGGTGTGAATGGGATCAATTAACACCACTCCATTCTCTTGCATTATATTGCACTGAAAAAGGTAGAACATGCAATACTCTTTGTTCAGTCTAGCATAACGCAACGTAATGTAATGCAATCGGAAGGTACAATTACAAGTCAGTAGACCTTTCGTTGACTTACAATTACCTTCTGATTTTGGTGAGCACATACACTTACATGATTGTGTTGTTTCTGGATCACCATTTCAGTGCAGAAAGTAGATGCTGACCCTGTATAATGCCTGAACAATGGTATCTCTGTCCTTTTGGAAAGGGAAGTAGAAGAGGCATCACCAGTGGGAGTATGGTTATCTCAGTGAGGAGTAATAAATGCCTCTATTACACCTATGCATTTTTGGCAAGGATGTACTTAACATGAACAAATATATGACATGCTAGGTCCATGTTTAAATTAAGAGATGGTTGTGCTATATACAGTACATGCCATAGGGACAATTATGGATAAAAGCCAATTACCCACAATTATGTGGGAGGACACCACAGCAAATGAAGAAAACCCCCATGTGCACAGCTTAGAAGTAATACAGCACAAAAATAAACAATCAATTTGGGTGTTGATTTTATAATTGTCCTGTTCTATGTTATCCATTCTAATTCCAACTAATTGTTGTTGGGTTAGGGCTTGCTATCTATCTCAAACAACACAGAGTGGACCAAACAAAGGAAAAAGAGTGGGAAATCTGTAAATCAAACTCGCAGTGTGCGACGGTACTCCAATTATAAAGAAATATTAGTCAAGAAAAAAACCCTCAGGAGATACACACAATGGGAAAAAAACAATGATACACTAATTTATTGTGATCTATTGGTATCTTGCAGGGTTTTTTATAGAGCTGATGGTATGTTTCTATAATAATAAAGTGTTTATGGATATCAATTATTGTATCATTGTTTTATTTCCAGTGTGTGCGTCTCCTGACGGGTTTGTTTCTTGACAAATTTTTCTATCTATCTATCTATCTATCTATCTATCTATCTATCTATCTATCTATCTATCTATCTATCTATCTGCCTGTCTGTCTGTCTATCCCTTTATTTATTGGATCTTCTCTACACTGAAGCTAAGTAGGATTCAATGGCAGATGAATAGTTTAGACAAAAAAATACATTTTACCCCGGCTCTTTTCATTTTCCACTGTGATGTGTATACTAAGGAACAAATTCCTATATAGTAGACTTAGTGAAATGTTAATATTCTGTTTTCTATGTAAACATACAGGTTTTTTTTTTAAAAAGTATTAAGACCATAATACCCGTAGTGGGTATTATGGTTTTAATACTTTTTTTTTTTAAAAACCTGTACCATTATTTTTTAATTTACTGTATGTAGTATACAGTAAATTAAAAAATAATGGTACACTTCCAAACTCCAAAAACTCCCCTCTTACCATACCATCACTATACTGTTGTCTCACATAAATAGATATACATATTATGTATTGATGAAGTAAAGATGTTCAATAGAGAGG